TCTTTCAGTAATCCTCCCTCCCTGGTGAGAAATTCTCACTCCATTTTGGCTGTTATAGTGATGAGGCAATGCAATTGTGCAGAAAACTTACAGGCTTGAGCCCTGTCCTTCATAGGGAAAGAGCCTGCAGACTGAGAATGCTCTCTGGTCTGCTCATGAAACTGCCCTATAACTAAGGGTGAGGAAAACCATAGGACTGCATTCCGTTCTCATTACCACCATGTAGATCTCTGAAAGGCAGATTATCTCCAATGTCTCTCCATTTGTGCTTTCTAACCAAGACGGTGCTCCTTTCAGGATGTGTGCATTGCTCTTCTTGGTGTTCACACGTCTAGAAAAAGAGATTGGGACGTGGGGACAGGTGTGGACAAATATCCGTAGTTCTGCTTGAACTTTTGGCTGCTGATAATGCTTCAGGGAAAAACAAGGCAGCTCAGTGTGCTGGGTAAAAGCTCCTCAACGTGGAGTAGTGCTGAATGTAAACCCAAGCTAAATATAGGGGCTTCTGATAGGCAAGAACCAAAGAAGTGGCACTAACTGAGCTATTCACAAGCCCAGCTGCAGAAAGCTTGCTTACATGCCCATGTTGGGAGTTTGTGGTCTTTCCATAGTGGATCAAAAGGAACTATTTCAGACCATGATTCAGGGTGCCCCAGCAGGATTGATGGTTTTGTTCACTGTACTGGATTACCTCCAGATTCAAGGACTGGAGTTGCACATCTGATCTTAAAAGCTTAGCTGTCAACTGCGTTTGTGAGCATTTGTGAACTGTTAGTCTGAGATTCGTAGTTTTGATAAAATTCAAGTAGTTTGACTTTGCATTGAAGGGATTGTAATTTTTCTCCCTCGTGGTGGAGAAGCCAGGGCTGTACAGTTTGAAAATTTAACTGTTAAGCACGCTAGAGATTATAGAGATCATTCAGAGGAATTACACAGTGTTTATTTGCTTTGCGTTAGCCTGTTTTTATGCTTTGTTACTACGCTTAGAAAATCTAACACCCGCAAAGCAGAAGAGTGATAGTTTGTATCAGGGAAGTAGTATATACAGTATATGGCCAGATGACAGATGGTTGTGTTTCCCAGAACTTTTTTATCATTTTCAGATATCTACTGCCACATTACATGACTAAAATGACAGTTTCCATCACATAAATTAGATTAGCAGTATAAAATCTGTTGTTTCAGTGTTACATAGGAAATTTCTGTGGAAGATAACAGTAGTTGGAGTATATATTTTTCTCTGTCATACAGCAATCTATGCAAAGGCAAAGCTTGACATCAGCTTATCCAGATTATGAGCTCTAAGTAAATGCTGACAATGGAAAAATCATGCAGTTGGACTCTTTGGTCTGTGGTGCATTGTAAGATGGTTTGTGAATTGGCTTCCCTCTGACACGTGCTTATTTTTTTTCCCTGATTGTGACGAGACAAGTAAAAACTGTGTTCATTTCTCCTAAAGTGGTAATGGGACCTTAAGAACAGGGGTCAGAGCAATATGTGAATGAAAACAATGACAGAGGTTCCCCTTCCCATTTGTGTAGAATAAATATTGTTGATGTTCCTTTCTCCAGTCATCCTCACGGGGCTCTGCCTGCAATAGGGACTCCTTGTAAGTTCAGTGAGTTCTAGGAGTAGATGTCATAATAACCCAACAGAGAGAGATGTAATGTCTTCTGACGTATTTGCTTGGCACAAATGTAACGAAGTTATATAAATTTCAAACCAGGAGTATGATTCGTTTTTGCCATGCATATCTACTCGTCTGAACTTCTGGATGTTGATTAATGAATTATGAAGGTAATCATCTATTGTATCAATTTAAAATATTCATCATGTTCTTCAAAGGCAGCGAGAAAATATGTACAGCTGCAGTGGAAGGAAGAGGAGATGGGCACCTCGCTGTGTATCCCCTGCAGAACAGTATTTACAGTCATTCTTTTATTCATCAGTGATAGCAGAAGCAGACTGGAGAGAGGCCAGTCATAGCCCACAGAAGTTTCGTGCTGACTGACTCAGAGTTTTCTTTCTGGATTTTAGAGATATTGTTTGTAGAGTGAGAACTCTGTTTGCTTTCTTATGTCCTGCAGAAAAAGAGAGGACATTTTGTGGGATTTTTTTTATTGTTGTTCAAAATTGTTGTTTAGGCAAAATTCTCAATAAGTCATTTCTAGCTTTCTATTGCTTTCTGTTAAATTTCCCTTTCAGCCACGGTGAGACTTCAGTTGCATTAGCCTTTGCTTGGTATTCACTACATCTTGACTAGAACTGATAAATTACTTTGAAAAATGTTGCTACATTTCCATGTCCTTATGTTTCTCAGCAGCTATGCATGCAAGCTTAGGTAAACGTATTAAAAATGTGTTGTAACTAGTGGAAATTTAGGGGGAACCTTTGGCTTGTTAGGAGCTTTTCACATGAAAATTCTAGGTTGGATAAGAAGAGATGGTAGGTAACATTTCATTTAGTGTGAGTGGTATTGTGTGGGAATCAGACTTTAGAAAATGGTAGTGTTGCTTCTTTGGGGAAGGAAGATTTCAGCTCAAATTCTTTCTTTCTAGTGTAGTCTACACCTTTGCAATGAATTCCAGAATGGCCAGTTGAGCAGGGGTGGCAGTGTTTTTAGCTGGGATCTCAGTGACTTGAATTGTCCTGGCCAGTTGCTCTGTGTCCCTAATCATCCTGCTGTGGCTAATAAAGTCATTCAGCTAATCTGTCGCTCTGGAATTGACATTGCATTTGAGTTTGCCAAAAGCTACACCTCTGTGTTATTGATTTACAGGTGAAATCCAGGTACGTTTCATCAGCAAGGCTTGTTGAAGGAAATCCAGTCTTTTTGAAAATATTTGGTAGCAGGAATGCTGCTCAGTGAGCAGTTCAATGACAGCATACTGTGAAAGATCACAGTGAAAGTATGGCTGAGCTCTGCAGAGCTTTTTTCCAGTGGCTATTCTAGCCGCTTCATTCAAAGTCACCTTTAAAAAAGCAGTGATGACTGACTGTGGGCTTCTTTCTTTCCCTAACTCAAAGCAGCTGATGCTCTTGTGTCACTTGGTTCTTATATAAATGAGAAAAAAGTGTGCACGTGACACTTCAAAACAGAAAGACTTGCAGCAAATGTGACCACGGTAGTCCTTACCACACAGCAGTGCTGCCACCCTGTCTTCATCACATCACTGGCTACTCTGTGCAGGAGGCAACCTTGGCCTAATTCGCAAACAACCTGAGCAGAACCCTGTATTAATATGCTTCTGCAGTGAGTTTCAGATCTTACAAAATTGCAGCTTTATTCCTCTTAATTGAAGAGACAAATAAACCTGTCAGACTATCAGCTGTATTTAGCTTTCTTTTGCTGTTTGATGCTCGCTCGTTTTATTTCTCAAGCTTTTTTTTCTCATTTCCTCTTTGCGTTTTACAAGCATCTGTATTTAATTTATGTGTACATATTGTTCCACGTGGTTCAGATCATCTTTATTTAATGACTATTGCCATCATTACTATTTAATGAACTTCTTTGAATTATACATTACAGAAATATAAAACAGATTGGGGTGTAAGTCTGTCCTTTAGCTATTTGTTTTGGTTTGATATGTCACAAATACTGGGCATATATGATTTAGAAACAAACTCTATGGCTTGCACTTTATAAATACAATGTCAGTAGGCATCTGATGTAGGTGTGTTAGGTGTTAAGATGTGTGACTTGCAAGGAAGCAAAGCCATGAATCTTTCTGCATCAGATAGAGTGTCTGAAGTGCTTGCCTACCTTTTTTCCAGTTACATTAATATTCTTTTCAATCTTCATGTTACAAAATTGAAAATAAAATTAACAATTAGCTTTATTTTGCCATGTTGTCCAGTTAGTGGCAGCTGCAAGGAAAGCATACAAAGCTGGTTCATGGTATTTCTCTCACAACCACTTCATTGGTAAAGGCCATCACTGAAGGCTGAGCAACACCTGTAAAGGGACAGAAATAAATCAGTTATTTTACATACTTGATGATCCAAATGCAAGCCAAATATGAAAAGCCATAAACACAACTCAAGGAAAATTACTTGAAGGTAAATTTATCAATTATTTGAAGAGGTTAGAAACCCTGCTGTTATTTAATTGCTATTATATTCTCAGAGGGTTATTGTACATACAGTAAGGACATACTAGTGGCATTTTTATGTGGCGTGTTGGTTATTCTAATGACAGAGAGTCAGGAAAGTACTCAAAAAATGGTTGGAATGCTGATTACAAGAGTTCAAAACTTGAAATTGCTACTGAACATATTCTACAGACAGCATAAAAATTCACCTACAGGGCATTAGCAGCCTGTTATTGGTGGGATGGGGTCTGGTGCATCTTTTTATTCCACTCATTTTTGTGTCCCTCTTGTAGCTGCATTTACCCATCACAAGTCCTTTTTGATTTCAGTGATGGTTTTAATTTAACACCCAACACAATAACAGCAAGGTAAACGAAGATATTTAAGATATTTTGCTCTGAAAAACAACCAGCATGCAAAGCCTTGCTTTCCACAACAAAGCTTTATCAGTGCTTGCCAGTTCTGCAATGTCTGAGCTCTGGTGGGGCTCGCTGGCACTGGCAGCTGAAAGCAGGCAGCTGCCAAAGCCTCTGTGTAGTTTGGCACCTAAGAAGTGCCTGTCAGTTTACTTGTGTTCCTAATCTGACAGCCACTATAAATAGTTCAGGTGGCTGTTTTCTTCTGATGCAGTTATCACGTCCTTCTGGATACATGTTCAGAGGTAAGGGAGCAGTTAGTGAAATTCTTACTTATTTACAGTATATGTAATGATGTCCTTCTTAAGTTTACAGTTAGGGTATTTCAGAGAGCTGTCGTGTTTGTTACAGCTTCTTGAAAAGGACTGAAACATCACAAAAAAAGCATGGAATGAAACTGCTTTGCTTGTGAGCTGGCAAAATTGAAAATGAGTTAGCCTTAACCTCACAGTTGCTTCTGTTTTAGTGGTAATGAATGCACTTCTTTTTACAGCCAGCAATCAGCTGAAGACCTTGCAAGAGTACCTGCTAATTCTACCAGCAATATCTTGAATAGGCTATTACTCAGCTATGATCCCAGGATAAGACCTAATTTCAAAGGTTTGTCAGATATTTCTGCCTTTTTATTTGATCCTTGTAATTTAGCCTTCTTTTATGCACAGAAAGTTTATACAGAAATGATATTCACAACTGTATTTCTGAGATGAAGATTTTACTACAAGCTGTAACTGTAGGAGGTATTTACAGTTTTTTTTAAAGCTGAAATATATAGGGATTTCAAGATAATACTGTCTGATGCTTTATTATTATTATTATTAAATTTTTCTAACAGATTTTTTCAGTTGAGTTAGGTTTTTGTAAAATGCATTTTTAAATATGTCTTTATTGCTCCATTTTAATCAGGCTTTAGCAGTATCCTCGCTTTACAGCATTTTAAACCATTTACCTTCTCTATAGGGGTCCTTTAAGATAAAATTTTGAGAGACCAGCAGTTTCGTTGTTTGGAAATCATGCAAAATTCAGTTTGGAAGATGTGTTAATAATACTGCTTATGAGGTTTGGGATTTCAAATAGATGATGAGTTTATGCACGTGTGATTCTGGGATACGTTGTTGTAGGCAAGAGCTGTAGGAATGTTCCATGTAGGCAAATGTGATTTCCTTTCATATACAGAAAAGGCTGAAATACATATACTCTGCAAAACCTCTAGTAATCATACAGCTGCAAATTGTACTTTCCAGGAATTAGGTTATTTTCCTGATAGAAAAAAGACAGCAATTTTATTATATTACACACATTGAAGTTTATATAAATCGGTTCTTTGTACAGCTTAATTATATTTAGGTTAGGAGTTACTGTGATGTAGCAATAGCATGAGAACTTTGGAAATCTATAATCTTTATTGTGCTTTTGAAGAGACCAGTTTCAGATTTCAGATTCTATCTGAAGCTTTATAACTGCATTAAACTCAATTCTCAGCAGGTTACCTGCTTGTTTCTTATTCTCTGTGGAGTCGTATTTATTTGTTTTCAGTGCTGAATTTTGTCTCAAAAAATAAATGTCCAGCCTCTGTTCTGTCTGCTCCTCAGCACAACAGGCTTGTAGCCACTGGTAGAGCATATTGCAGATTGATTTATATTTCTGATATCCCTGATGGCTCTCTGGTAAGAATTGAGTCTGAAGAAAAAGAGAGGGCATGTAATGTTAGCTTACAGAGAAGTGGGGAAGAAAGAACACTTTCTGACAAGTGACGTGCCTGTGTTAAAATGTTCCTCACACTTGACTGGCTTCCTTGGGCTGTGGTTCCTATTCAAATCTGGTCGGGATTCCTGGCTACCAGTGGTGCAGTGGGTTTGCAGTTTGAATTTATGTCTTATACATACATACTCTGGAATACTGTACGTAGGTGAGCAAACTATTAAATATGACATTGCTTTATAGTATAGTTGTTCTCTCTGTCCAGATAGTCTTATACAACTTTTTTACTTCTGAAAATAGAAAGAATTCCACCCAGCTAAGCAGTGTGACAACAGATGCTTGTATCCAGTGTGTGCACTGACACTCTCAACATACAGGTGCTAAATAAAACTAGTGGACCATGATTCTCACAATCATCAGGCCACTACCCCCCACTTCATGATAGCCCTCTGTTAACACCAGATAGATGGCTGCCTATCCATTCCCGCAGGGTGACAGAGGGCAGATGTAGCAGCTGTCACACCAGCCCTTTTCAGCTGCAGTAATCCTGGCTGTGGAAAAGAGACAAAAATCCAGTCCATCTTGATATCTTCACAGCTGCTGGCTTCTCAAAATTTTTCTTGCCAAATTGGTAATCGTTGTAAAATGGAGCAGCCTTCTGCTTCTCTCCCTCTCGTGCGAGGTGGCTGTGAAAGCTGCATGGAACAGTTTTTATCCCCGTGTGTACACTGCTACATTTATACACTTGCACAAAGAAGTATCCTCTTACAGTGTAAGTAAATGTGTCATCATAAATCAGAAACAGTTATTTGGGATGATAGATCTTTGTTATATCTTTGGCAGTTGAATGTGTCCACTGCTAGAGATGAGAATTGCATTGCATGTAAAAATAATAGTGGATGGTGCGTTCCGTGATAGCAGAAAATCATGGAATTTGGCAATGACTCATTGATTTATGGTCAGTGAAATGCTTTAAGCTTGGTGCTCTGGAATGAGGATTTTTTTTTTCTATTTTATTATGAAAATGATTCTCATGGTTTCCGTGCAAGCAGATTGTACTGTAGCTTTTGAAAACAAAATAGATATTAATTTGAAAATACAAAGTTACAAAAAATATTTCACATTGTGATACCACTAAAAGGAAGGATAATGTACCTTTGCTGGGTTGTGCAAATGACTAGAAATCTTTTCTTTTTAAAGGAATTCCAGTCGATGTGGCGGTCAATATCTTCATTAACAGCTTTGGGTCAATTCAGGAGACAACTATGGTAAGACTGAAATGAACTGAATGCAGCACACAAGCAGATTTTCTTAATAAAAATTCAGGCTGAGGATTACGAAACGTAAACTGTAAATGATTGTTTTGACTGCACAGACTGAGAAGTAAGGTAATGGGACTAGCATTGGACTGTGCCTTTTGCTGTAAATCTGTGAATCTATTTAATTCTTTCCTTTTTTTGGTCACAGGTTGTCATAACTTTTAGGATCTGTTGTGGGTGAAAGGTAGATGAGTGCAGAATGAACATACATGCAAAGATCTCAAGCATTTATGTTCTCTGTTCTGTGGATTTCTGAGGAGTAAGCAGTAGAAGGAGTAAAGCAGTAGACTATTGGTGACCTTGCTGTTTATTTACTGTGTGAAAGGAGATGGACTGACTGAAGTTGTTTTTTTTTTTTTTTAAAAAAAAAGGTTTTCCAGTCCAAAGTATCTCAGCATGTCAGTAATGGCCTCAAATGATCCACTTTGCAATTTTGACTTGTTGTTGTTGTTACTATTATACGAAAAACAATCAATTTCAAAATAAAAAAAATCATTCTAGAAAAGCACTGTCTGATATTTTGAGACTTGAAGATCTTTTTACAATGACTTTTCCAATAAATACTGTGAAGAATATTGGGGGAAAAACAAACAAACAAACCACATTTCATTATTGAAGGTATTATGAGGCAGGCTAGGTTTTTCTGTTGTTTAAAAAACAAAGGGGAGTACAGTTTGTTTTGTCAGTATGTGAGAAGCTGCAGCTAGGGCATATACTCAAGCTCTGGGGTCCCAAGGCACTCCCACACCATCCACTGAAGAAATGGGTGCAGTGCTCTGCTGTGTCCAGTGCATGGGGGCAGTTCCTCAGATCTGGTTGCTTGTCTACTCCTGTGGCTAAGGCAACATTCCTCGTCCCAATGGCAGAGAAATAATGAACTATAATGCAGCTAATAAATAATAAAACACCTTTTGTTGCACATCCAAGCCAGTACCTGCTTAAAATTCAGAGCCAGCTCGTGTGTTACCTTTAATGACATTTCAGTGAGTTGCTCAAGGTTAAACAGATGCAATGGCTGAAGTAACTTTTTTTTTTTCTTTTTTTAAGCAGCTTGGCCATTTCATCCTTTCATTGCTAGGAGTGAATAAAGGATTTAGATTTGATTGAAAATGATAGTAAGTCAGTTAATGGTATTAGCAGGAAGTGATATTAAAACAAGGAATGTAAGATGAAGATGTTTTGAGATTTATTTCTTGAAAACAAAAAGAGGACTGCAGTTTAAAGGAGCAGGCAGGAAAGTAGGAGTGAAATGAATATCTAAAATGGCAGGTATATTAAGCCAGATGGCCCTTTCAAGTTTTTGAAATTTATTACATGCTTTAAAAAGTGACTTTTACAGAGGCTTTTTTTTTTTACAATTAGCCATATCCTAATAGTAACAGAACATGAATGTAAGGCGTGTGCATCTCTCCAAAAAATAAGGTACCCTCTCTACAGCAATGCATATAGGCCTGCCTGTCAATTCCTGTCCAGTCATTCACAGATTTTACTAGCATGTTGCATAAGGTAGTCATGCTCTCCTACATATTTTAGAGCTTCAGAAACCACCCTCATTTTATGCTTTTATTTAGATTTCTGTGTCCAGCCAATCTCTGTGATGCCTTGGTTCACAAGGGCTGAACTTCATATTTCCCTTCCTTATCTCATGTAATAATAATGTTTCTCCATCATCTGAGTTCGATGGGGAATCTCACACATCAAGGGAATGAATCATTCTGCAAAAGACTACATGCTTGGACAAGTTGCACAGTCTGTTTCAGCTGAAAACAAGAGGATCCTAACATGAAAGTCAATATATCAAAGCAGAGATGGAGCAGGACACAGAGGTGGGTGCTGAGACAGGCACATGATTCATTCTGAATTAAAACAGGGAATAGAACTGTGGCTAGACTGAGAGCAAGGAAGGCATGCAGATACATTAGTGGGACCAGAACTCTGCAAGCCTGTCCCCTATGGGCATGAGGAGTTGTCTGGTAGCATCTCAGACTGCTTTATCAGTATCAATGAACTTCCACTGGCCAAGGACATGGGAAATAATTTGATGTCTTAATGTCAAATTCACTCTTTGGCTCCTTTGGTGAGAATCAATTACTTTTGCTTTCTATCCTTATTGTCCCAGAACTATTTACGTTCTTAGCTATGCAGTTTGCTCTTCACCAACAAAAGTAGAGTGGTTGACTGCCTGCTGAGGTAGAGTCTGCTTTGCTTTAGGAGAGAAACGGTTTTGTTGTAAAAATGTGTTGACAGGTTAGAAGGAAGATTGGTGGAGACGCAGCATTGACCCTATGCCCATTCTATACAGTTCTAATCAAACTTCTGCAAAAAATGAAGGGCAAACGATTGCTCCATTTCTAGCAAAAGTAGAGTTTGTGTTGTACTGCTGAGTACTAGAGTGAATTGCCTCATGTTCCCACATGTATCGAGCAACTAGAAAAAAAGAACAAAAACTAGCAACTGCAGAGCGAGTAAGAACTTTTCAGCTAAAACAGAGAAGGGCTCATACCAGAACTGCTACTTTCAAGTAAGCTCCCTTTACCTGAACTCCTGTAACTTGTTTTCTTCTGGCTTTGCAGAGTACTTGTCTGGGATCCCCATGGCAACTCTTCCAATTTTTCAGAGATTGTTTTAGAGTGCAGATTTATAGGGTAATACAGGGATTATGTTGCACTTCAAAACTGTTGAAGTCAGGGATTTCTAGATGTAGATCCATTCTTTTATAAATATCCATAAGGCTATAATGTTTTAGCTGTACTAAGGATCTGATCTTCTGTCTACAATGACAATTCATTCTTAAGGTTTGTATTTGCAGTGTAACCTTTCTTTTCTCACTCAAAGTCCACCTCCTTCTTCTTTAATTTCATACCTTACAGAAAAGTCTTCTTAATGTTCATGCTCTTATTTCACTTTTCTTCTTTTAATCCTATGAATGCAATTCTCTACTTTGCTAATCTGTTAAAAGACGGCACTCTACGACTCTTCTGTTTAAAGAGAGTGTTATTATGCTTGCTTTCTTTGCATCATTGTAGGTCATGTAGAAGAAGCCTTTCACGATCTACTGTGTGCTCCAGTTTATAGAGAGAGAAGTATTGGCTATGCCTAGCTTCTGGCCTGAGGAGTTTTTCTGGTCACGTGCCCACTGTTTTTAGTAGGTTGCATTGGAAATATTTCCTAGAAGTCCTCCCCTTTCGGCTCCCTTGAAAACAGCTTGCCTTCTGTTGGAGTTTTATGGGAAAACAAAGCCCTGTAGAACACTTCAGTGATTCTTTTTGCCTTCCCTGTTCTCATTGCCCTAATGGTAATGAATGACGTTGTTTTTTTTTTTTTTTTTTTTTTCCCCTAGTGTCTGGCTTTTAAATTATTATTTGACTCCCTTTTACTTTAAAATATTGGCCATTCTGCAATATTCAAAAAACATCTGTAAAATTCATGGGAGGGAGACCATGTGACTCATCCAGACCACTTTTTCAAGCCTACATTGAACCTAATTGCAGTACAAGTACTGAATCTGAAAATTCATTACTCAATTTTGGAAAAAGTCTGTTCCCAGTCCTCTTAAATTCAATTTGTACCAGATCATAGCCCGTACTTCTGTCATGTGATGTAATAGTTTGTATTCTGCTAAATAAAACCTTTGTGCATATTATTTTCCGTAGATACAGAAGTTAAGTCTCCTGACATCTCTTAATTAAACATTCTTCATACTGCCTTAAGTATGTGGTTGCCATCCTCCCCAGGTGAATGCTCTATGAGAAATTTCCAGTCATTTGTGTAGGTCTGAACCTACTTGTTTTAGGCTAATGGGAATTCTCTTCCACTGACTGAAATGGGAACAGAATCAACATCTTAAACTGCCACTAATCTAATAGTTTGGTTTATTTGACTTCCTTTGTAATAGAAAAAGGAAGGAAGTGGTGTCCACCTGATCTTACCACCAATTCCTATTTTGACAGTGGATTTTCTGTGATTTAAACATCTCCTGAATGGCTAAACTGAAGGCAAGTGTTGGAGAGTGCTTATCATTTGCTTATGGCTGTGAGAATACTTTTGATTTTGTTAAAACAAGGATAATGCACTTGTTCATGAGAAAATTGATTTTTATGTAATGCTTATAAGTCTGAACAATATGCAGGATTTGTATGGTTTAAAATAAATGCTTTCACTTGGGCATGAAGTCCATATGGAATGGGAACTTCAGAAACAAACAAGTAAATTTTGAATTGTATCAATATAATACATTCTGAGATGATGACCTGAATTCCCTCATGCTCTGAAGCTTTTCTATGGAAGCCTTCCAACTCTAAGTCACTTTGAATTGACTACTATTTTATGCTACTTCTTTACTTTGACGTAATAATAGAGGTCTTTGAACAAATAAAAATCTGACTACATCTATTTTTTTTTTTTACTTCCAGAAACAGACTGCCAAAAAGTAACGGTTCTCTCAGAGCTATGCATATTAATAGATGTTGCCTGAGATCTTTCTGTTTAATTTTGATGCTTTGGTTTCTGTTATAATGCAGTGGGGAAAAACATTACACAGTCTGTTGTAGTAAAAAAAAAATACCTGGGCTGGATATGGGAAGGTGAGCACAGGGGATTAACAAAGGGAAATCAGTAGAGTAAACTACTCTGCATGAGATCTTAATCAAGAATTAACATAAGTATCTCAACATGGCACTTGCTTTGGACTGTAGATATACAGCTTATAGCAAGTACTGCAGAAGAGAATTCGCAATATATCAACAGAAAAATGCCTGAGACAACACTAGTTTGTACACTGCATTCTTAATTTTTTATGTTGAGTTCATTGACAAATCAAGAATATGTCATGAACCATCACTCACAGATATCTGCCTTTTTTTATATAATTGCAAAGCACTAACAGGTATAATCTCAGGATGCTTTGTGCCTAGTAAATAATTACTTAAAAAAACCAACAAAGTAACCACACTATAAAATACAGCAAGGAGGACTAGAGATAGATTTACCTTAATTATAGAATCTGACTTTATTTTTGTCTTTTACTTTGTTTTAACGATACTTTTATTCCTTTCTCTGTATGTGATCTGCCTGGTTTACGTTTGCATAAAAAAGAAGCATTTGCTTAGATGTAAATCTGAAAAGCAGAAAGATGTAGATGCAAGACTGAAAAATCCTAACTGACATAGTAGGTCAGATTTTTCCTTTGGATGCACACAGCTTTCACTGAGGACAGCATGCATGTGGGTTTCGTTCTGCCCTGAGACATGTGCTACTCCAGTTCCCAACGGCAACATTTGCTTCTCATTGAGCATGGTTCTACTACTGTCCATCCTTGACTAAAACTCCTGCTGAATTTGGAAGAAAGTTTCTTCTATGTAACGTCTTGATTTACTCTTAATTTCTGTGTCCTGTTCTGTGCCTGTTTTCACACAAGCTGCCTCAGGCCTTATGTTGTACAGTCATCAATTTTCCTACTGAAATAGCCCCAAATCACTATTAGAGGTCCCAAGGCTGTATTCTGTGTTTGCAGCTTAAAGTCTGCTGTCTTCCTGGTCTGTTTTCTGCTTTTACGGTGTGGCATATTGCCATCACTATGCCACTTAACAAACTGGAGAATGCTTTTATAAGGTGTTATATTGCCATCAGCATGCTACTTAACCAATTGTATAACAAACAGGAGTTTATACTTCCAGGATTTGCTGGTAGAAGTGATGCTGTGTTAGCAGCTGCAGTAAATCAGTGTAGTTGAACTATGGCTTCCTCTGTGCTGTTGCCTACTTTTCTTTATGCCTATGTAACATGGCTGCTGTCAGAGGGGATGCAGAAAGAATCCTGGGAGGAAAATCTGCTCCTTTCCTTTAAAAAAAAAAAAAAGTTTTTTTTATCTAAATCTGATATATACTCTACCTATTATTAGTAAATTGCATTGAAATTACCACGTACTAATGCTACTTGAGTGGTGATTCATGCCTACCTTTGTGATAGAAAAATCAAAGCATAAATTGCTTTTCTTCTGTGAGTCTGATACTATGGTATTCTTTCCCCATGATTGTTTTTTGTTTAGACTTTTGTCTGGTCTAATTCTTATGTATTCTTCCCATCAGGATTACAGAGTGAACATCTTCCTAAGACAGAAGTGGAATGACCCCAGACTCAAACTGCCCAACGACTGGAGGGGTTCAGACACTCTGACAGTGGACCCAACAATGTTTAAATGTCTTTGGAAACCAGACTTGTTCTTTGCAAATGAAAAAAATGCTAACTTCCATGATGTCACTCAAGAAAATATCCTTCTGTTTATATTTCGGGATGGAGATGTCCTAGTCAGCATGAGGTATTTTATTGATAAATTCATACTCTTTCTGACTTCAGTCAATTCACGACTTGATGGGAGATAGATGTGCTGTTAGTCTCAATAATGCAGTTTTTGATTAAAATTTAAACATATATGGCAATTTTAAAACAATGCTGTCAAAAATGAAATGTGTGAAAATAAATCCGGAGATGTTGCAAAGCACATAGGTTGGTAGCACAGGAAGTACTAAAATTTGACATGTTTGTATATCATGTTAAAGTAACATTAAATAGGCTAGTACTAGTAACAGCATTAAAATTTACAGAGTTATCTAGATTTCTAGAAGCATAATGAAGTGAAAGAAGGTTGTGCTGTCATTCACCAAGACCTGGACAGGCTGGAGAGTTGGGTGAAGTAGAACCTAATGGGGTTCAACAAGGGCAAATGCAGAGTGCTATACCTGGGGAGGAACAACCACATGCATCAGTGCAGGTTAGGGGCTGACCTGCTGGAAAGGAGCTCTGCAGAGAAAAACCTGGGTGTTCTGGTGGACAGCAGGTTGGCCACAAGCCAGTATTGTGCCCTGGTGGCCAAGAAGGCCAATTGGAGTGCACTAAAAAGAGCTTGGCCAGCAGGTGATTCTTCCTTTCTATTCAACATTAATGAGGCTGCGTCTGTTCAAGAAAGTTCCCCAGTTCAAGAAAGACAGGGAACTTCTAGAGAGAGTCCAGCAGAGGGCCACAAAGATGATTAAGGATGTGGACCATCCCCATTATGTTTTAGCAGAGGAGTTGGACCAGTGGATCTCGAGGTCCCTTCCAGCTCCTGTGATTCTGTGATATTTGGAGTAATTCCTTCAGCAAAGTAACATAATTCTCACCACCTGAGTTTCTATGTTAACTAGTGCAAACAAGGATTATCTCCCACTGATATAAAAAAAAGGCTGAAATTTAAAAAGTGAATATAAATATTTTGTTAAAGTACTAGGACGTGATTCCAGTTAAGATCTGTGCTTTACTCAATGTAGATTTTTCAGAGGACCTCCTTAAATATTTAATTTCATTGCAATGAATGCATACTTCTTTGTGTTTTTGCTTTGTTTATGATCGTGATAGTATTCTATGCCATAAAAGCAACGATTCGTTGTAAAACAGCCAAATTTTTTAATTAAAAGGAATATAATGAAAATTTACAGCCTATAGATGCAATGATTTGCAGAGATTAGGTTCACTTTCTAGCAGTATTTTTTTTTTTTTTTGCATAAACTGAAACATACCACCAAAATGCAGGAAAAAGTTATTTGCCAAAAGCACTGTAACTTTACCATTAAGAGGGGACAACTTCTGAAATTATGAATACGTGAGGTTTTTATTTGCAGAGTGGAAGTGGTTAGAAAGAAGATAGGAGAGTCCGTGTTGGTTTGTTTTTGCTCATTCTAAATCAGGATGAGAAAATTAAATCTCAAGACTTTTCCAGATGGAGGTCAGAAAAGGAATCGTAGAATCAGACAGTGTAAGCATTTCATTTGGCTCATTCTGAAGGTCCTGTTCTGATTACAGCTGAATCCAGCAATTTTTGAAGTCTGTAGAAATTAATATTTCAAAATAGAAAATCACTTTGAGCTACAAAAGCAGTTTTGATTCTAAATATTAAAATTTAACAATTGGAACTTCTTTCAGGTACATATTTTTCCAGGTTGTAGCCATTTAGAACAGCTAGGCAAATAGGAACTTTTGGTAGTTGATATCGATAGTTGTGGTGACGTCTCAGGGATCTTGAATGGCACATAATGAGCAGATGGACATTGATTATTCACTTTCTTTTCCAGTAGAATAATCATAAGACCAGGGCCAGGGCAGATGAAAGGAGACCATTAGTGTGTGTGAAGGATAGTGTTCTCCTTGTTGCAGGATGCTTTGTATGAATAAAGTTTACATAGTAAATTCGAGAAAGCAACAGGAAGCTTCTTGAAGGAAAAAAATTCTGTCAAGCTGTCTTAAATAAAGGAAGCATCACTCACTTCTGGTTTAGGAAGGCACAACTTAAAGGAGGCTGCTGGAAATCTGGGAGAGTGTCATTTCCTCATTGGTCTGGTCTAATATTCTTCTTCAGCAGTCTGCCACTGTCCACTGCTGGAGACAGATTTCTTTTCAGTATGGACCTTTGGTTGGGTTGTTCCTAAAAATTATGTCTTTTGCCATGTACTAGTAGTTCTCTAATTTGTGGAATTCTGTATATTTAACACTGCATTATTAAACTACTTAGAGGTACTTAAGTTTCTGATTAGATTCCCAAATTTTGAAGTGCTATTTATTATAACTTGTTATTTTTTTTCTACTGTTTTGGAAACTGAAAGTCAAATACCTAGGATTTTCCTTTTTCTTAGTGCAGTCTACTCCTTACATGACAGCTCACCCTATCTTTAAATTCTATTTCTGTATTTTTAGATTGTCTATTACTCTGTCATGCCCTTTGGACTTGACCTTATTTCCTATGGATACACAGCGCTGCAAGATGCAATTGGAAAGCTGTATGTAAATTCATCTTTGCCTAAAAACACATTTTGGGATGAATCTTGGAATGAATATTCACTGATTCCCACCAATGTGAATTTCCCCATGAAAAACGTTTCTTATGGTTGTGTCACCATGCACCCTGATTCAAGCTTTCACTGTTAAGCACAGTGACAACTGCTTAGTATTACAAAAACAGTTGCTATAAGCTTAGTAAAACAGGGATACGTATCATTTGGAAAAAAAGAATCCACAGTTTCTCCTGGAGGTTTTAACTTCCACAACCTGTGCTTTTTTGTACATGGTCAGGGTCCATTTTATCCCCTTGCGTTGATGATGCACTGTGTCATTGGTAACTCCTGAAGTACTGGAAGAAAAGAAAATTACTTGATGCCAATATTTGAGAGCTTTTAGTATGCAACCTTTTCAAAATGTTTTCATGATTTGTTGTGGATGTGGGCAGGCATATCTGCCCTACTAGTCCTTTTTTGGTAACCTGGTTATTTGATCTCACAAAGGGGCAGACAGGTCTCATCAGTGAAGGCTTTCATGCCATGCTGGAAGTTGTAGCCGAAGTGCTTCTGAAACCCATCTTCTTCCCTGCTCCCCAAGTACAAGGGCATCTATTCCAAAAGTCCTGTAGTCCCATCCTTGTTGATCCTACTTTCCTGGCCTTTTGTTTCAACTAAGGATGAATGTGATGCAGGGAAGGAAGGGTGCTTCCTCCAACCTGTTGCTGCTACAATACAGAAGCTTTATTCTGTTGTTACTGCCCCAGATCTGCTGAGGAAGCTGAGATTAAGAAGCAAGGAAACAGCAAGGTTAAACAAAGCTGAACAGGACAGCCTGGTGATGGCCAGGTAGTAATAATGATCAGAGCTATACAATTTAGTTTTTGATTGACAGCATTTACCCTTACAATTCTAATAAGACCATAGTGTTAGAGTTTTAGTGTATGCCCACTGTGCATATATTAGCTGAATTAAACTTGTATGGTAAACCCAAACAAATTGGTGGTTAATGTGAAAGTAATGGAAGTTGGCTCAAACTTTCTCAGTCTGGGTTTCTCTACAAGTATGAAAAAGTACAATTTTTCAAGGGAGAACTACTCATAAAAAGTTGCCAGTAACTTAATCTGATCAACCTTACTGTCTCTCTCCATGCTAAGTTGATGTATGTAGATTAGGGTGCAGAAATGCATTTTCTGCTCCTTTGGGAAAGTAGTGTGAACTGAACTTTGTTCTACCTTTTTATTCCTTTGACTCCTATAGCTCCCAGTCTGTCCCCTCCAGTTCCCACACTGAGCTTGCTTTCTCTGTTATCCATTGGCAGCTTTATTTCAATATGTTCAGTTCAAATTTTTGTCTTTCTGGTTGTTAGGTTTCCAAGATGAAGCAGCCAGTTGTTATTAAACAGTTCCCTGTATGTATGGTTATGGTTATGATCACTAGTTCAGCACATTCCCAATGGACAAGATTTTCAGTGCCCATTAATTATATTCTAAAAGCTCTCGGCGGCTTTGTGATTTGATAAATGTTGTAAAGAGGTGAAACTGATTTTACGAATTGATCTTTAAGACAACTCATTTTTTGATATTATCTTTTAGCATGGAGCTTTGAGGTGTGATTTTTATTAGGTTGTTGTTGACCTTAAAGAAGTTGGCTAATGAACGATTTAACTTTTTGAATGGCATCTATTTTTCAACAATAAAAACAGTTTATTTAAATCCTCCAAAACAAAAATGGTTCTTTAAACATTTCTGAGGCTTAGAATTACAAAACACTTCCTACCAGCTCAATCTTTTTATATATTTCCCCAGCTTTTTTCCCATATAAAGCGCATTATCTTTGAGCAACCTGGTCTAGAGGGAGGTGTCACTGTCTATGACAGAGGGGTTGGAACTGGATGATCTGAAAGGTCCCTTCCAACCCAAACCATTCTGTGATTCTCTGATCTCTGTGTGAAGTTAATTCTTAATAAGCAGAAAGTAACAGAAAAACAGCATGTAAAATCATGACTATAAGTGTGTATTTATTTAATACTGTGTTATGCTTGTGTTATGCTAGTGCTGTTGTATAAACCATGTTTTAGATGTATGTTGGGGTCTCTCCATATTCAGGAGGTTATGATGGTGCTGAGGTACTGACTTGATTTCAGTAGGACTGCATGTCTACTTGAATTTCTTGTCATGTATTTCCTAAAGCACAGTGATTTCATGAATCAGGGCTTTTAACCTGAACAACTAAGTAGAAGGGTTGTTTTACACAAAAGCCAAGTAATTAGGTAATCAGGAAATTAGTAGGTGCAGCATTAATTTCTGTTGCAGTTACTTGGACTTGTGAGTGTAGCTGAAATTCAGTATGTTTTTCATGCTTTACTGAAGTGGAGTATGAATGATTATGCAAACTTTAAAGCTGTGGAATCTAGAGCGCTGCTTTATTTGTTTGGATAGTGATTTCTGTAACAAACACCTCTTAATCGTTGTAATATTGCCAATAATATAATGTCCTACCTGGCAAATCTTAATATAGAACTACATAAAAATTCAGTTGTGGATTATCTCATTTTTTTTCCTGATTCTTTGAATAGGAAATACAAAAAAAAAAGTACATACACGCTAGATTTTATTGCTGAATTTACTTTGCTTAAGATGGGACATTAAATAATAGTAATAATTTTCTTCTTGTAGTTGGTTACACAACTGATGACTTACGCTTTATCTGGCAATCTGGAGATCCTGTACAGTTAGAGAAAATTGCTCTGCCTCAGTTTGATATTAAAAAGGAGGATATTGAATATGGTAACTGTACCAAGTACTACAAAGGCACAGGTAGGTGATAGAGGTGCTTTTCATGGTAAAAACTAAGCTTCCTTCTGTTATTGTTTATGGATAATGATTTATATTCCAGTACACATCTTACATTTTTATGGGAGGAAATGGGTTACTTTTAGCTAACATACATACAAAGTACATACATACAAAGTACTGCAAACTAATTCAAATACATAAAGTCTAGATTGAAAATTGAATGGAATTAAATATTTTTCTTGATTTGGCTTACATGTCTCCTGATCTTGCTGTTGCCATTTTGTTTCTATAGTCTGGGTAATTTTCTGTTCTTGTAAGCACTTTTCTGATGGGCAGTTCATGTAGAATTGTGCTACCTGCAGCAAAGTAGGGTAATTTGGGTTTTCTCGTTAAACGTTTGTTCCAAAAATTGATAGTATTAGAGTGTAACTTTAAATGTTTCTTCCTGCAGGTTCTTCTTTTCTGTAAGTTTTCTTGAAATGTGTCACTGTAGAAAGCTGTTTGCAGTCCTCAGCTCTGTATGATTCAGTCCTGAGATCGTATTTGAGTGTGGACAAAAAATTTCTGCAGAGCTTTCTGGCTTCTAATGATGTATCATTTCTACTTTGATTAATTAATTTCTGCCTATAATTAATCAAACTACTCACATTCCGTGGCAACCCCAAGACTTTTCATAACAACTGAAATCAGCAGTGTGTGTTTTAGTCAGTGCTATTGCATCATATGCACAAATCTCCCATTAAAATGAAGATGGCTGTGGCACTGAAGCTTTTCTGCAAAGATCCTTTTCAAGTTTCTTGCTGACCATTCAGCTGCAGTTGAGAGTCTGTTACTTGCAGTTGTTTCTGAGCTAGATTCCAAGTGTGAAGAGATCTCAGGTAACCTTTAAGTAGTTTGGAGTTAAGGAATTTAGTTTGAAAGAGATAATTAAAATTGAATGTTATTTTTTTTATCTGCAAAATGAATGAGTTCTTAGCTTACTAAGTACATAATTCCATATCTCAGATTATTTACATTTGAAAGTAGTGTGAAATTACATCTCCTCAGAACAATGCTGTATTGATGAAAGCACAACCAGCATTGGTATTTAAATCCAAATTTGGAAATGATAAGAGGTTTCTTAGCAGTGAGAAAATTATTTTATTCTTAAATAAGTAATGAGTTTACTGGAAAATTAGGCTATGAAGTCGTGGAAAATTAAATAGATTGATTTTGCAGTTTCCAAGTAAAATTCATAAACATAGGAAAATTGGATGTAACACAAAGAGACTTCCATTTCATTCAAGGGCAGAAAGGAACACTTACTCCAAATTGCTATCTTGTAATTGTGTTGTCAAAGTTAGCATAATGATGTTATGTTTTGTCATAAACCTAAGGTTAAACATCTATAAAATTGATATTTGTGCATCTTAGGTATTTTTAGGATTTCTGGAATCTTAAAGATAAATCTAAGAATTAATCATTACATGCTTTACAATGAAACTGGAAAGAAAGCCAGCGTTGCTTTTTGAAGTTCCAACACCTTGTGACCACAGGTTAAAATGGCACTTTACGAAGTGCTCAGCAAGATGGTCACGTTATTGTGGGCACATGATTTGACCATTAATGAAAAGATCATTAGAAGAACCATCAGACTCAGTGGAATTGCAACATTAAATTTAAGAAAGTTCTCGTAATTCTTTTATTGCTAATCCTTTCTGTTTAAAAATGAAAATCATCCATGTTAAGTCTATAATAAAGACTGGAGTTAATACATCGTTAATGTGGATTGAATAGGTAAGTATGATGAAGTATTTTAAAGGCTGCTTTCAGGAATCAAGAGCTGTGTGATTTACCTTTAATTCTTATATTGAAGGAATTTCACAGTGCAGATATGCACATAATTAAAATTAATTCTATTAAGGATTTTATAAGAAAAACAAAAGGCAATGTTGCAAGTACAAGCAAGTTTTCTAAGGTATGGCCTATGCAGGAGATCGTTGCCAATTGCAGAGAACTTATTCTTTTGGCCATTTACATCAACTGATGTTTTATCATGCCTGTCTAAGTAGAGAGTCAATAAATTTGGAACGTCTATAACAATAATCTGAGTATTTAAGTTGCAAATAGCCTATTTCTTATTTACCAAAATGTATGACAGATCCAACAAGTTCTTCAGCAACTGAACAGTGAGAGCAGCAGATAATCTGTGTGGTGGAAATGCCACACAGAATGCATTTCTGGCAGAAAGCGAATAAGAAATGATATTTACAGTCTCCCTTGTTTGAATGTAAAATCTAAAATTCCTAGAAATGAGTCAGAAGTTATACAAATAGAGAATATTGGCAAAGATAGAAGACTACAAAATGCCATTTAAGGTCTTCTACACAGCAAAGGAACATTCTCATTTTTTGTTGTTGTTGTTTTGATTACTGCAGGCTCACCAATATTTTGAAATGACTTATTGTTCTAGGATAGTTGTTTTAAAAAATACACAAGATAAGTAGATAAATTTTTCAAAGATTCTACGTTTGAAATTAGATGTACACCAATTCTTTTTTTACAGATGGACATTGACTTGAGTTTTGATATTGTTCTAATGTAATTTAGGAATGCCTTCTCTTCATTACAGAATAGTTTCTGATGTATTCTGTTATCTCCACCGAAATCCTAGTATCTGCTGCTTTATTTTTTGTTGAATTCATCTTGTTGAACATTTTCTGAAGTGTTTGTATGTTTTAAAAGCTTTGCTGCAAAAAATTCAGCATGTTTCAATTTTAGGAGTTATCTATTTCAGCTTTCAGTATTGGGGGCATCTCTGCTTTGGGTCACTTTCAGATCACCTCTTTTCATTCTAACCTTTCTAAATAAATATGTTTTTATTCCATTTTATTTGTGAATTAATGCTAAGTAGAATTTTCGTATGAGTTTAAGCTCACACTAGCTTAAGCTGCTATGACTGCCAGATCCCATTGGTTGTAACTGGCCTGCATGTTGAAGCCAGATTCAAGATAAGGCTTGTGTCAGCTGCTGGTTATTGACACTTTGTGAAAAGGGCAGAGGGTGCTTATAGATCACAAAGAGAACCACAGGTTACATTGATTTGTGTTTTGAACATATTTCAAATTAAATTATTTGCCTTCTGAAAGAAATTCGAACCGATGAACCTGTGTTCTTAAGCAGAAAAACGAGTAGAAGATAGTAATCTCAAGAGGTTGACCTGCAAAGCACATTAAACTTTAATATGCATTTATTTCTTTAAAGGTTATTACACTTGTGTAGAAGTAATCTTCACTTTACGAAGACAAGTTGGATTTTACATGATGGGTGTTTATGCTCCTACACTGCTAATTGTTGTTCTGTCCTGGCTATCATTTTGGATCAATCCTGATGCAAGTGCTGCAAGAGTCCCACTGGGTAACCTGCCTTCACATATGCTGTTACAGACCACTTAACACCATCAAGCCATTCTCAGTTGCTTTGACAACATGATGCCGGACACTGAAAGCAACTTCACTTTCATTATCCACTCATCTTTTTCACTGAAACCTCCTCATTCCTACTCGTGTAAAATCCACCCCCATATTGAAGCTTTGCTTGTTATGCAATGCTAATGTGATGAGGATGCTCTCTCTGCTCCTCTGTACCAGGACAAATCTGGTCTTACCAGATCTTATTTGTGGTTGTTGTTGCAGGCACTGGGGCAGCATGTAGTGTGTAGGAACTTGAGCATTTGAAAAACTCTTGAAATAAGAAAGCAGGATGATGACTAAGAATCTAAATAGCTATCTCTTGTAGCAGGTTTTCTGAGGATTAATAGAAACTGAATGATGTTTGGAAAAGAATTAGCATCCTTGATTTCATTAGAGACTCAGTTCATGAACTATTTCAGCCTCTTGTGCTGCTCAGCACAGCACAACAGGCAGGCTGTTCGTTTGTTATGGGACTGTAGGACATGGAGTTAATCAAAACAATAGTATCTTATCTTCACTGTTTAATAGGGCATGGGACTCCAGCTCTGGGGTGGGCCAGCCTGCAGATCACCAGAGCATGGTGAAATGTGGAGCCAGGCTCTTGAATCTTGACATTGCTATGTGTAATCCTATCTCCATGCCTTCCACAACCTCTCCTTTCTCATGCCCTGAACTCCTTGTCCTCGCCTTTCCCTGACACTCCCACCTCCACACTCCCTATTTTCCAAGTCTTCTCCACGTTCCCAGGAGATGTAGTTCAGCTGTTTTCCCATCCCACAAGGATGCAGTTTAAGCATCTCTTCAGGCCCTGGCCTTTCTGAGAAGCCTCTCATCCACACGTTAACGTGCACATCTCATCTGGATCTAAGTCCTGTGCAGCCTCACATGCATGAACACATGCTGAAAGCACTCGAGATCCTTAGGGGCAAGGTCTGCCCTGTCACCATCCCAGACTGATCAGTAGAGTCTGAAATCTCCACGGAACAGGAAGGATTCCTGCCAGGTTTGTTAAGTTGAAATGTCCCTGCAGTTGCCTTAGTCTGAGCTGTGCTGCTCCACTTTCAGGACATCTACCATGTCTCTTCCTTCTCCGTTGATGTGATTGCCAAAATAAACAAAGAGCTTGCACCAAGACTAAAATGCTGCTTTAGGGTTTTCTGCTACAGTTTGCTTCCTTTCTCCAATTAAACGTAATGAAAACATATTTCATTACATTTATTGTATGTATCTCTTTTACAGGGTACTGTTTCAGAATACAAAACAACTTTATTTTTCTTGATCTTTAAAAATACTGATAGTTTTTGAGGAGCAGTCACAATTCATATTAGTTTGATAGCGAGTAACAAATACACCAGGAAAGCTACTAGGGATGATTTCCATAGCATGAAGCATAAGATGTTACATGAACGAAAAAAATCAGTCTGGAGAAATTATACCATGCCTTCAATTAAAAAGATAGAAATGAGAACTGGAGTTAGTTTTCATATAATGAGATCCAATATGATCAAAACCTTATCATTATAAAAGCATTTCTACTTTTATAATCCTGTGTTTCGAATAGCTGGCCAGTCAGGTTTATCAATTATATGTGAGATTTGTAAGAAGCATAGGGATGATTTATATAGCATGGATGTGTTTGTGACTAAACACGCATGCTTATTTATTTGTCTGTTTATCTGTTTTTAAGTGTTTGCTTGCTCCTTTTATATATTGCCATGATATAATGCATTTTCAAAGATATTTACCATCGGCCTGGCTATGTAACTTTTCCTCAATCCCCAGAGAAGCAACAGACACTAAATCTGACCATCCTTTAGTCATGAGTCAGTATTTAATAATGCAGGTTGATAACGCCATGGTTGCATTAAGATTTATTTTTCTCCAGTTTGCACAAGGGCAGCAAGCTGGCTCTTCTTTCTGCATCCTTAAAGAAAGTTGATCTTGAAATCTAACAAGATAAACATTTCTGTGTCAAGTGAATGTCTGCTCACAAGAAAGTGTTACCAGTTGTCATTACAATTGTAATGGTTGGTAAGATACCTCATTAGGTGAGAAGCTACTTCAGATTTGCATATGAGTATCTTAATACAGTTATCCTTACAGTTAAGTATAGTGGACCACTGTTGGCCATGCCTAGGAATCTCAGAAGTTTCTAGCTGATCTAGGAATGCAAGAACTATAAAGCTCAAAACGATTTTGTAGATTGATTGATTTTCTGGGAAAAGGTGTTTTTTTTCTTCAAAGAAAAAGGCTGTGTCCATCTAGTTTCTAAGTAAGTTGCAAGGCTTTTTTATACCTATAATGTTGAATTCAATTAGGTCACACAGTGGTAGGGAGCTCCACAAAGGACACGTATCTGGAGAGCTCTGGCTAAGTGATTTAAAGATGGAGTCATCAAGTGCTTCTTTCTAAATAAATGCTTGTGTTTCAGCTTTTAATGAGGCCTATGGAGGATTCTCCAGTTCTTTACAAGTGGAAAGTGTGCCAGCGTCTGTTCAAAAAATTCCTATCTTCAGTGCCATGTGACCCCCAAAGGGAGTACAGCCTTCCCTGAGGCTGTAGGCATCTGAGGGACGTGATTTAGCGGAGGGTTGTTAGAGTTGGGGTGCTAGAGTGTTGGAGTTGGGGTTAGAGTTGGGGTGCTGACCATGACCTAGCCTTGATGATCTTTAAGGTCTTTTTCCAACCTGAGCAATTCTATGACTTCAGACTTCCAAGCAGCCACAGTAGCCTGGAGTAATGGAGCGTTAGTCCAGGGTGTAAGAGTCACACAGCACACACTGCCTCCTGTGAAAGGGTGCTTGGGATACAGTGGAGGAACTAAAAGCTTGGGGAAGTGATGGGGGACATATCCCCCATATGTAGCAGCCAAACATGCCCTCCATCACGCCTGCACTCAGCTCTTAGTTCAACTCATTGCATTTTATGAAACCGCAGCAAATGCAGGGTTTCAAAGGAAAGACATTGAGATATATTTGAACAGTGTAGTATGAAGATTGGCAAGATTATGTCTTCTAGTTTACAAAGTTTAATGGGAGAAGTGGATGTATTGCAGATAACAAATTATGAGGAAAGAAGGATGGAATATTATGTTTTTCAATAGCGTTTGTGAGATGGAGCCAGACATTTTTAAAGCAGTAATACAAAACAGAAAATGCTGTTTTATACAGCATAAAATTAACCTTTGTAACTCATTGCCAGCAGATAGTGCTGAGGCTAGTTAAGTTTGATAGATTTGGAAAAGGGAGATTTATTTATCTGGCAGTATGCTCTGAAGTGCTTTAGTGATATTATACACGTGTAACCTTTGGTGGTATTTTTAAGATAGGAGCTCTACGCAATCATGCTGTAGGCAGTGAGCTACTAACCTTCATGATAGGGATGAAGAAGAAATTTCTGTGAGTGGATTAATTAGTTATTAGGTTCTTACGTCACTGAAATACGAATAGCATGTTGGCAGCGGGTCAAATCTTGTACTGCAGCTCCTGTAAAGTTAAACTGTTTGGTTATATTGAGATGACTGGATGCTGGATGTAAGTGACTTATTAAATGAAAGAAAGAGGATGTAGTTCTTGCCTCTGTGCAAAGCTGGCAGGTGGACACACTGTGCGATCAAGACGGATCGTGCTCTAGGGAAAAAAAATGCAGGCTTGTTTCTTAGAAAGGCCAGCATTCCCAAATTTGTATCGGGGAACTAAAGCCCTTCCCCTTTTTGTCCCTACGAAGAACATGGAGATTTCCTCCCTGACGCACCACTCTCATTTTAAGAATTATTTTTTACCAGGTTATCTTGCAGCTTATTTATTCATTCTCCTCAGCTATGTTGGAGCTGTGCTATTTGCACCGTATTCAATAGGTACTGTCAGAAATGCGACTTACAGCTCTGGTACAGAGTCTCTGAGGCAAGGCCAGCTCTGATCTGCTTGGTAGAATATTTCTGTTTTATTTCAGTGTTGTCTTGAAAACCTAAAAGATTTTCTTTAGTTTCTCTTGCTCAGAGAATGAAGGTTTCATCCTTCCAACAAATGGAAATTAGCAGCAGAAAGCTGCAGATAGGAAGAAGTGTCCTTTACGTGTTAAAAGACATTACCCTTTATATTTGCACTTTTTATGACGTTTCACAGTGATCAATAATTAGTGTTCAGCCTGCCAAGACCAGCTGGTGTTGGTCATTGAAAATAAATAAGTAAATAAATAAAAAGTGAACTATACTTTTCTTGCTTCTTGTCCTTATGGTTTTTTTACTTGATAGAGTAGTTCAAAAATAAGCCAGAGTAGAGACTAAGGTTTATTTGTTCGGTATTTGCCTTGTTCATTTTGACTCAACAGAAAACATCTGACCGTTCTTTGTTAATCACAGTGGACAAACAAAACTAGCTTGAGAATTATTTATTGATATCACACGTTTTTAAATAAAACACCATAAAATTTTGTGTTTAAAATCATATAATTATTTACTTACACTTTCTCTTCAGTGTCTTAGCAGCTAATAAGTTGCCTGCTTGAGATCCATATCAAAGTAAGTTATCGATCGTATTGAATTCCAGCTGGGACAGTAACAATAGAATGTTTGGTAGTTGTGATCAGCTAGAATTTCAGATTTTAGTAGGCCAGTATAAGTATTTTCAGCTTTATTAGTGTTCTTACATTTTCACTTACTTTAAATGGATCTAAAGAAAAGGTCTACAAAATAATTTTTCTAATGGTTTGTATAGCACATGTGACCCTTATAAGAAACATTAAAGCTAACTGAGCATCTGCTCTTGAGCATCCCTTTCTATAGATGTCAGTTCATGAAGCTGCCCACTCATAACTGAAAATGATTTTTATCATTAGCATTCAGAAAAAAATTCTGATCTGGATGGAAATAAGTTTTTTCTATGTGACAACCACTTTTAAACATCTGTGTTGTTTTTTTTCCAAATGGAGCTACTATTCCCATGGGCCAGGTGCCTGTGGGGAATCTGAGATCACGCTTGTATTTTATTTCTTGTGATGTGAGCCCTGTGTTAATGGTGATGTTTGGAAGCTTTGTGAGGAGCAGTGCTTATTGAAACGTAGATGTGTGACCTTTCAGTACCCTTTGTGGATGTACTTAAGGGCTTCTTCAAAAGCCCTTTATCTAGAAAGCTTCCTCTTTATACTGATAACTCAAGCAGGGGTGTTCACAGACCTTTGGTCAACTCAGTGTTTTCATCTTCACAGTAAGTTGTGAGCACAGAGCACAGACTTTTTAGGGTGCACTTTAAAAATAGTGCCCTGTCAGGTTTAAATGTTACGCTTGTGGATGGATCATTCAGAAAACTTCTCCTGCTGTAGCACAGTGCTGGGACAGCAGTGATTCTTCAAATCTCATTTAAAGGACTTGGAGTTTTTTGATTTAGATGCCATCTATTTCTCTTCTATGTTCCCAGAATTAGATGCACACTGTCAGTTAAGTCTCTGGAAAACCCATTTCCGATTGTATGATAAGTGTTGTGGCAGGAAAACCACAGCAGCTAGTTTAGCTTCATTCATTTCTCTGTTTGTAAAACAAAGATACTCATTATTAATAATTTGTCACTGACAGTATCCTGCGTAAGTGTTGAATTTGTTCATTAACTGCAGGCATGTACACATGTGCAAAATATACCTACCACTTTGTCAAGTCCCATTTGCTGTTACAACTCATCATTCAGTGTTGTCTGTTTCAGAAGAGGAGCACAGCAGGTGTTGATAAGGCTAAGTTTGTGTTAATTAATGCTGCATTTTTCGTTCTGTAGGTATTTTCTCAGTGCTCAGCTTGGCATCTGAATGTACTACTCTTGCTGCTGAACTTCCCAAAGTGTCTTATGTGAAGGCCTTAGACGTGTGGCTGATTGTTTGCCTCCTCTTTGGGTTTGCATCATTGGTGGAGTATGCAGTGGTTCAGGTAATGCTAAACAACCCAAAGAGAATTGAAGCTGAAAAAGCCAAGATTGCCAAGGCAGAACAAGCTGAAGGAAAGGGTGGAAACGCTGCCAAGAAGAACACTGTGAATGGCACAGGGACTCCTGTCCACATCAGCACTTTACAGGTAAGAGCTGCTAAGCTGTGTATGCAAAATCAGCATTATCCTATATTAACATAGTTCCAGAAAGACACTGCTATAATAGTTTTGAACAATACATAAACTTACAGGAGGCCAAGATGCTAAGAACATGTTGGTAATTAATGGCTGGCCATCTAAGCAAATGGTCCCTAAGATTTGGTGTCAGATGTGCTAAATGAAATGTTTATTTCTTTGTAATACCTTAGTACTGTACTTGTTGCTGAGCTTTAGATAAATAAAGAAGCAAGCAGATTTACAGTTGCTCTTTTTCTTTTAATAATAAATAGCAGCTGTCAAACTGTAACTATTGAGAGGACAAGACTTTCAGTCAGTATTTGTTGAGAGCATACTCAAATATCAGCATCTCATGGCTTTTCTTGGAACAGCCACAGCTGCACTGCATTGCATGTAAAGAATCTCTACAGCCAGGGATTCAGAAGTCTTGGCATTTGTAAATAAAAGACAGGTCTGTTTGTCTGTCAAACATTTCCTGCGTTTCTTCTGTTGCTAGATGGAGTATGGCTAAATTGATCAGAGCTCATTCTATGAATAAAGATTAGTTCAGCATCTTAGTTTAGGCCAAAGTTTTCTGTATAACTCGAGAGTTACCAGACATCCCAGGCCATCTACCCTCATTTCTGTGGAAGAAAATACATGATGCTACAATATGTGGAATATGAATGTGTCTTACAGTTTTCAGTATCTCTACAATTTAGATGTGCAGAATAAAAGGTATTTGGCCAGGATAGCAGAAACCCAGCCCTAGTGTAAAGCTGGCATTGCCTCCTTACTAATTACCCCCAGGTCAGAGAAGCTGCTGATGGCACAGAGCAGTGCACTTGACTACCATGATTCTCATCTGATAGAGCCTCCTAAGAACTGTTTTGGCAGACAACCACATTCAGCAGCAAGCGGCATGGGAGCTTGTCCTATCCAGGAGTATAAAATGATGACTTTTGTCATCTATGCTATCATGTCATATTTTAATCTTTTTCCCCAAGAAGGTAGGTTTGAGTGCACAGTTTATTTCTAAGCTTTGAGGAACGCTAGTTATGATAAATGGCTCAGAATCACATACAAAACATTTGTCTACAACTGAAGCACTTCCCCCAAAGCAGTGCGTTTTATTTTGGTAAGGTAAAGATATGACAAATTTCTCACAGCTTAGTGTTTGGATCACTGAGTCTATTTTTGGACGTTATAAATAAGCAGAATTACTTTTAGATTTTGAGCATCTCTAGGATGCTCGAGCATCTAGGATACTTAGCATCTTTCAAACAAATTATACATTTAAATAGATAAACGTGACTTTAAGCCCACATGTGCATCTGTAGATGCACCTTATCCTATATATTTGAGCACTATAAATATACTCAGCTGAAAGCTCCCTCTCTGCCCTAGCTACTGCTTAGGAATACTTTGACAGTTTTTACCACTGGAAGGCTGCACTACTCTTCTAAATCAAAATAGTTCTAAATCTTTCAGTAGCTCTGACTCTTAATCCAAATCTAGGTCTGCCCCACAGCATTTGGCTGGCTCACATACAGAGTTAGCAACCATCAAGTAAAGAATGCATTTGTCATATGGCAAATATGCAAGGGAGGGAAATATTAAAGAAACAGATAATGGAAAAAACTGTATATTGAAAGGCAGAATATGAAAGCCAGAGTGCTGTCCCAGAACGTCAGGAGCTGTTTCTCATCAGGCTTGTGTTTGAGGAGAGAACACATACTGTGATAAATATCTGGAAAGAGCAGAAGTATTTGAGGATGTTCTAATTCTTTCCTCACAAGAGTCATACAGAAATCTGAATGCACCAAGTTCATGAAACCAAGGTGATAGTAAGGAAAAAGAGAGGGCATAGCTGTAAATTTCACTAGCTGGATTTGAAATTGAATGAGGCTCAAAGATAAAGCCAACGGGAAAGATCTGGAAGCACGAGACTCCTAGTGGGGAAAAACAGCAAGCATGAATGATTGCATTGCCCATGTGAAGCACTTTGTTATTTGAGATATTAATGAAGAGGTACTGTAATAAAGCCAGAAGTTGTTAGAGGGGAATCAAGTTTATCTCACTTCACAATATGCCTATTTTTCATATTATTTAAGAAAACAAGTCAAAGCAAAGATCATACTTAAATACTTTTTAATTGCTGAAAATTTTTCTGTACATCCTAAAAATTTGCAGCCTGATGCCGTTTGTAATGGAAGGTAAGGAGAAGTGGTCCCTTGTATCAGAGCCTGGCGATATTCCCCTGGAAATTCTCAGCTGAAAGCACTTCCAGCACTGTGTCGTGTCAGGAGAGTCAGTGATAGTGACTGATGCTCACCAGCAGCATTAGAGATGATGGCAGGATGAAAACAGTGTTCACAATTTGAGAAATTCCCCTATGGATGCATAGCTTATTTTCTTCTCTGCCAAGTCCTGGGTACTGGCTGAAGTAAAGCTGTGTGTTGCAAACACAAGCCAAGCTTCAAAGTTTCTGGCTCATGACCCCTGCCCAGCAAGAGCCCTTCAGAGATCAATGCCATCTTAAGCCCAGAGGTTTATCAGTGTCTGTGTGAGTAAATTCAGTGGGTACATTCTGGCAAGATCACCCTGAAACTGTAGGAAAAAAATAAAAAATTCAATAGAAGCAGTTCTGCTGATTTTGTTAGGAGCTGTAAAGGCTAGAAGACATGAGAGCTATTTGGCTCCTTGTACATAGAGACTGCACATAGCTGCAGTTGCAAGCAGAGGAGGAAATGGTGCAGCCTGGTGGTAACTGCTGGCACTGTTTTTTTTTACTGGGAATCCTCAGAAGGAGTTTGAGTGTGTTTCCTAGCAGTGCAACATCATACATGATGAGAACAAGTAAAAAGGGAAATGTCTGGAAGATGAATCAGTTTCTTTTTTCTTTCACTGGTGGCATTGATTACAAGGAATGATTGCATGGTTAACTATAACAACACCTTTCCACTGCAAAAGTCACATTTTCATCAAGCCCATTTCTAGAAGCTGTCCCCCACAGGTAATGCACTGATGACTGAAGTGAACATTTGCTAAAAGAATAGTTCTGGCAGGTGATGAATAGGTCTGTGCAAGTGGTGGTAATAGCTCTAAACCTAGTTATTTTTTAAGAGAAGTAGTGCTATTGCTTGCCTTGTCTTGTCTGAGCTGCCTCTAGGCTCTGAAACCTGATATGCATCTTGTTCATCTCTAATTGATTTTCATTTATAATATACTGGACCATTGGTGGTGACCTGTGGTGACCTGATCTTCATATTCTGTGTTTTCCCTTCAAGTAGTACTCTAAACTCAGATTTTTCTCATAGAGCTGCCATAAATCCAGTTTGCATTTTATCTTGTGTGGAAAACCACAGGCTGCAGTCTATTTTAATAGTTGCTGACAGCATTTCAGGTACAGGGTAGGTACTTTCTGCTCTAGTGAGTCACGTATCTATCCTTAGAGATCATTCAGAACACGGCTGCAGAAAAGCCCTGAGCAATCTGCTCTCGCTGACCCTAATTTGAGCAGGGGGGCTGGACTTAGATGATCTCCAGAGTTCTCTTCCAACCTCAGCTAGGCTGTGACTGCGTGATATTTTGTTTTACTTTTCTGCTAGTGGGGTAATGACAGTTTGCAGATAACACAGTAATATGGATTGGGATAGCAAGTTCCTGCTGATGGCAGAACAGAACACACTCAGTCTGAATACCCACTAATGCTCAACAGTCATTACTTCATTGATGATCTAAACCTATTATTATGCTGAAAGCAAGAAACCAGGTCAGTCTTCAAGTGCAAGAAAGATAAAGTTTGTTGCAGCTACTCCTTCATCTGATATGGAGGACTCTTGCACAGCCGGACCAGTGACATGTGCATGCCAAAAGAGTTTGGGTTCAACAGAAGAGAAAATTCTGTGGCAGAGAAGAAGTGCTGTGTAGGGCAGGGAGTGAAAGCTTTGCTACAGTGGGGAAGCACTTCAACCTTCAGGACTCGTGCTGAGCTTGAGAGGCTGCTGCTGCTATCTCATGTTTGAAGATTTGCCAGAAATCTTTGACAGTGCGTTTCTCATCTCATAAATCCTTGAAACCAATTTATGCTTCATTCTCACAGAGAAAGAAGACTTGATCATGGGATGAGCAGTGAAGTGAAAAGTCTTTGTTCTATTTGCACAAAACAAATTTAGCGGAGTTCTATATTTTTGGTGTTGTGAAAGGACAGATTTTACATATTTGAAAATCATTTCTTTTCTCATCTAGCTGGAAGAATTTGAACAAAAAATATGAATGATTCTGGTGAGCTAAGAGCATTCAAAACAGCTATAGAACAGAAGGAAAGATACAGTAATTGTAAACAAAACTGAAGAAAACAATTGAAAACTCTCCAGTGACTGAAAACTAACTCAACTACAAGCATTTCTATTCTATTCTTAGTGGCAAAAGGAGATGCTGATAGCAGCTAATGTAACTCGAAATCCAGTAAATGTTGGAAATAGGTAAGAAAAAGATACAACAAAAAAGACAAAACAAAAAAAGAAACTCAAAGGCATATAACAATGCAGATATATGGTCAGCATAACTGAATCATAGAATGGTTTGGGTTGGAAGGGGCCTTTAAGATCATCTAGTTCCAACCCCCTTGTGACAGACAGGGACGCCTCCCACTAGAACAGATTACTCAAAGAACAGGTTGATCAAAAGAGCAACAGAAAGTTATTTTACATGTATATCAACAGTAAAACAAAACAAAAACAGCAGTAAAAAGAATATTGGTCCGTTACTAAAGACAGTCAAGAGTTAGCAGAAAAGACAAAAGTGTTGATAAAATGTTCCAGTTTTCTGGGAGAAAGATGAGTACATCCAATCAAATGATGAACTAGTTTCCATTGACAGCAGGTAATGAGGATGTTAAACAGTAGCTATTCAAGTCAGACATTTTGAAACCAGGATGTCAGGTAAAGTTTCCTCTAAGATTTTATACAGAACTGGTCCAGGAGTGCTGTGGAATATAAATGTTGATTTTTTTAATAATAAATCCTTTTAAATGGGGCGGCGAACCTCCGACGGGTCCAGATGACTGTGAGAAGCTAACTTTGTTCCAGTACTTTTAAAGGCAGGGTGACATAATTTGAATAATTACAAGATGGACATCAATCAGTGGAAAATATTAAATAGATCACAGGGGGCCGAATAATAATAATTATTCATAATTATTAATTATGATTAACTTTACTCATAATTAATTTCCCTATTTGTTACTACTTTAAAATGGTCAGTGAAATGAAAGGTGATCTGCACGTTTGTTTAATCAAATTGTATGGTTTTTTTTAAAGATCATCAGTTTGTTTGGCAGAGGTAATAGAATGGAGGAATGAAACTGTGAAGAATGTTTGGCTTTGTGTGTCAGCATGATTACATCATCTGAATTGTACAGAGTCAAGGTTAGATTTGTTACCGTCTGTAAGTACCAGCAGTTAATCAGGCTAAGTATGGTCATGCTTCGTGACTGAAAATTGAAGCCAAATAAACTCAGGTTAGAAATGAAATAAGGCACATATGTTTGTAGAGAACAAGGTGGTGGAAAAAAAATCTCCCTTTGGGATGTTTTTAAAGGAAAATCTAATGTTAAGTGATCCAGGACTGCAGCTGTGGGCAGCACCCGCCAGCCTGAATTTTGGAGAAGGTGAGAATGGGTCGTTGCAACAGACCTTCTGGCTTCTGGGAGCCCTTTTTAGATACTTCTGAGCTGCGCACCAGCCATACCAGACCTACTTTAGGAAGCCTATCTCTGGTGGGAACTGTGGTACAAAGCTTGTATTTGGGCTGAGCCTCAAGAGAGAGCCCTGGTGCCTTTCCCTGCCCTTCTCTGCATCTAAACTGGCAGGAGAAGAGCAGCTCCAGGCTCTGTCTTGGATGTGGCACTCACTCCCTTGTCCCCACGCAAATGCTTCCAACCCCAGTGCTATGGATCTGGGACCCTCCTGCTGGCCAGGCACAGGTCACCGTGCTGAGGTAGGGCAAGAAAAACAATAGCAAATCCTTTCCAGGGCCACATTCTGTGTCAGCATGGAGTTGAAAGTTTATAAGAGATGCGGGAAGCCTTTAATTTTACTTTGTTTGCAAATCTTTGGTAAAGTCTTTTTGACTTACTCAAGTCCCCTACCATCATATTCCACAGATACTGTCCATGTAATCTTTAGTAGGTGTCATGAGTATCATTACACTTTCTAGCACAGTCAGGGTTAATTAAATGCACTTAATCTACATTTAATATATATTACTTCACTTGGTTTAAAGAAGGCTGTGGGTGTGAGCAACAGAAATATTGGAGAGCTGAAGGGGTGAATGGGAAGAAATTAAAAAATATGTCCAGGCAGCAATGGAATTAGAAAATAGAATCACACTGAATTGTGTGGATGAAAGACTTTATGTATTTATTTATTTTTAAATATAATAGAAGCATATGCTTAGAAAAGAAAAATTGGGGCCAGGTTTTACTCTTACAAGAAAAATTTGGGTCACCATGATAAATCAGCTGGTACTAAACTAAGCAGGGCTCTGTGTGAATGTGTTGTGAGCAATCTTCCACTTGTGAGGGATAGGTGACCTAGAAGCTGTTCCCTCAGCTCTCCTTGCAAGCAAATGAGAACTGACTTGTAAAAGCCTGTACCAGAACAATTCTTAGAAATTGGAGTGGGACAGGAATATTCCACGTTGTCTTATGAGAGCACAGAGACAACAATTAACATCACTGAGTTTTACTGTTTTACTCTGCTAGTATGAGGAATGGACTGTAAGTTTTCAAATCCGAAAAGAAGTCTGTAATTCCTTACATGATTCTGTTTCTCACAACATATTGACCTATTAAACCTATTAAACCTATTTCTCACAACAATATAACCTATTAAATGTTACCAGTTTTGACCATGAGGAAGTGTGATAAATAAGGAATGAAGGAACAATATTCTTTACTTGAGTACAGAACACTGCTTCTGGATGTCAGCTCCTTGAAGACAGGCAAACAAATTCAGCAGCTTTTATACATAATCTTGCTGTACAATCATGGAATAGCTGTCTTCTTCTTTTATATGTTTAAGTTTAATAAGTTCATATTAAACTTCTCTTTTATATGAACCGTAATCTTGTTTTTGTGGTGAAGCCCTCACCTCAGTTTTAGTGTATTGCTTTTGAAATAGACTATTTTCCTAATAAATATACGTCTGGCAAACCTGAGGAGGTTCACTCTTGTTTGAAGCAATTCTGCCTTGCTTCTCCTCCACCTTGCAGAGAGTCATCACTGTCAGCAATGGGAGTGAAAGCCCCAGCCAAAATTTAGCTCTCTACCTGACTATCACAGCTCTTCTAATCAAGGATAACTTGTCAGTTGTCATAGAGAAGCCAAAAATATTCTTCAAGATATTTTTCATTCATTCATAAGTCTGGTACTGCATTCCATTCTGATTATTTTAATAAGCTATGAAGTGTGATAATGCAAATATCTCGAACCAGACTGCAGAAAACCAGAGATGGAGGGAGCTGAGGCTGAAGTCTTTGTGATGGGGAGAGAGGATGCTGGGAACACAAATGGGGAGCTTTGGGGAGAACTGAGTTTAGTGGATCAGTGATTCCAGGAAGCTCCAGCAGTTATCTTAATGTCACTTGCTTCTGTGTATCCCCTGGTTGGTGAGCCAGCATGTTTTTCAACTCTCAGATCATTTATGTGAACAAATGGCATTATTAATAATGCTGTTATGTTTCTTTTTTTTTTTTCTTTTTTTTTTTTTTTTTTCTTTTTTTGCTGCTTTTTGTACTGCAAATAAAAGAAAATGCTGTGAGAGAGATTTACCAAAACCACACAGCACAGAGCCTTGCAAGAAGTCTTCAAATTCCTTCAGGCTACCCAATAGTGTGAGATGATCCTCACTGAGATTTATTGTGTCTAAAATAGAATCTTTCTAAAATCCAAGGAAGGGAAGATCAGAATTTTTTTTTTCCCCCAGAATGCTTATATATATATATATATATATATATTGCTTTCTCTATATATTGCTAATAGACTTGTAGAATTGTCTGCTTTGTGGGAAGGGGAGATTCACCTGGGGATACCAGTTGGTGCAGCAATATTTGAACCCAAGAACACTGACAGAGCTGTAGGAAAGACATATATTCAGCTGTTAATTTACATTTTCCAGTGACTTCCCAGATATCAATAGGAAGTACCTGGAGTGCTGTCACATCCTGGTTACCTTCTTTAGAGAGGTGTCAGTGACTTCCAGTACAAAGAAGGTGTCTTTTCACTTCACAAGGTTATCACCCAGGGTGAGATTAACAATCCTGAGCTGGCTAGTACGTAGAATCAGAACAGATTTAATAATTTTTTTGATCAAAATCTGAATTTTAGAGCTAATTCTGAGCATTTGGAAAAAAAAAAAAAAAAAAAAAAGAAAAAAAAAAGTAAGCACTGAATAGTGTCTTTCCTGCAGATTCATCAGCACAGAATCTGTTTCCAAAAATATTCTCTACTAAAATATTCTCTCCTCTTCTGTCACCTTAAAATGAAGGCGTCTAACTATAGCAGGTTGCACAGCGAGAGGCACCTTGTGCATGAAAAATTACACAATTATGAATGTTTGGATTAGTTTATATGATTGACTGATGATGCTTAAGTACTTTATAATGCAACCATTCAGCAAATTAGGCTGATGTAATGTATCCCTATCAACAAGTAATTTCCTGTATGTTTGTTTGCAGTGTTCTCTAGCATCTACATTAAGTTTGTTAATGAATTATGGTGAGTAGAACATGATTTCCTTCCCTCTTTATTTCGTAGGTTGGTGAGACCAGATGCAAAAAAGTTTGCACTTCGAAATCTGATCTGAGATCCAACGATTTCAGCATTGTTGGAAGCTTGCCAAGAGATTTTGAGTTATCAAATTATGACTGTTATGGGAAACCCATTGAAGTCAACAATGGGCTCGGAAAGTCTCAAGCCAAGAGCAACAAGAAGCCTCCTCCTCCCAAGCCAGTCATTCCATCAGCAGCAAAGAGAATTGATCTTTACGCGAGAGCACTGTTTCCTTTTTGCTTCTTGTTCTTCAACGTCATATATTGGTCCATATATTTATGATGAATCTTTTATTTATTATTTTCACCTGTAAAATACATCCATTTCATATCCCTTCCCTGTCATGAAGGCCGACGTGTGAAGTGCATTTGCAAAGCAATATGTTGCATTTTGATGCCATGCGATTGTACTTAAAATATGGCATCTGAGATTTGAAAGCATGACACTGCAATGTCTGTGCTTCTACCAATGTTGTATATAAATGTACAGCATACATCTTGCTTTAGGAACATATAAAAGATAACGCATACGACATTATAAAGCTGAATAACTCCCTTCAGTTACTAGTAACATACAGAGATTTAAAGTGTTTCTGATAATGAAACTGATGTGCACGTTGAGTATTATTAAAATCAGTATTCTAGTATATGTAGTATTTAAAAGCTTTTCTGCTGACTTTCTGAGAAAAAACACATCTTGTTATTGTATAATTTTAGATGGCACTGGTGAAGAAAAAGCTAAGTTGTGAATCCTGTTACTTAGGCGTCGTAAGTGAAGGCAGGATTGAATAAGCTGGTCTTGTCTATGTGGAAAAATGAAGGTCAGATAATTGCTGATTTTGTAATCAAAATCAGCAGTTTTGTAAAATTTAGGGGGGAAAAAAAAGCAATTGCATCCATCAAGCAAGCACACTTCAAAAATGTGTTAGAATATGCTTACTGTTAAGCATTGTGCCCAATTTTGACTCTTCCTTAGACACAAGCTAGATGTGTCGAACAGTCGGCTTTCTAGACTGAAGGTATCTGGAGTTTTGGAGAAACACCACAAGATGCTGTTCAGTATCTGTTTCTATTATACATTTTTACATTGGTCTGTTCTCTGGCTCATCTTCTCCAGTGTCTTGCAAGCCTACAGCGAAAAGTCACAATTAATTTTTTTGTTGAATCTGATATGTCTTACTCATTTTGCTTTGTTTATCCTCTTGAAAGCCCATGGTTTAAAGAAACTATTTGTTTTCATGATGAAATCCCGTTTTAACTCTAGTTACACATTTTCTGTTTGCCTTTTGTAGCACAGATGATCTGAGCTAACATCTAGCTAGCTAGAAGTCCAAGGATCTAAGTCTATTAAACACACATGAATTCTTACGCCTGTGTATTAATTGATGACTGCTCTCCCCAGTTCATTTACTTGGCTGCTACTTGTTGGAAAATAAGATCCTGTGCTTGAAACAGTTTGATTAGGGGCTGTTCTCCATTATTATTTTTTTTTTTTCCAGAGAAAACCAGAAAAATGGATTCCCCAGGGTGCATAGGGCAGGAATCTGTACCTATGGTCTCCATTGGTGCCACAGTATACTACTCTGTAAGAGCAAGTAATGAGGTAAAATACATTCAAATGAAAGCTGCTTGTATGTAAGTAGTCCAAGTAGTGTATGTTTCCTGAGAGCACAAAGAGACTACATCTTCTGCTCTAGACAACATACTGTAGAGAAACATGTTTCCAATTGTAAAACTGGGGCATAAAAAAATGTAGTTGAAATATGAAAATAAGACAGTTCTTGATAGGTTGGCAAATCATTAAAGGGAATATAGATTGTTGGAAAGGACAGGATTAAATACCCAAAATATTCCATAAGGTAAAAAACCAGGTAAATTCACATTTGTCATGCTGCAGTTCTATTATAGAATGCGTTGAGCCAGAGGGAGACAAAGGACTCCTGTCATTCTCGTGTTGCTCCCTGCCACGAGAGCATTGTGGATGTACAATGAGCCTGTATAACCAGAAGGTTGAAAGTGGAAATATAGAAGGAGAGAATTAGGTCACACTGGCTTCACTGGGCACCTGATGGATCTGTTAAGAGTGGTTTTCTAGCCACTGCCACTTCATGATCAACAGCCCAGTACTGGTTTTGCATGGAGCCCATGCAACGGCTGTATTTCATATTACTGCCACCTAAAAAGCATGGTTGGCCTTCCATCTTGGAAGTTATTGCTGATGGTTGGCCTAACATCTTTTTTGTGATACAAACTACTGCAGATGTCTTTTGTTCCTGCAACTCGTGTTTGGGCAGAAGAGGTCTTTTGTTCGCAATAAGGTTGCATGCTTTCATTGAGCTTCCTTGCCATTTTCTCTTGGAGATTTTCTTTACTAGGCAGCCAGAGTTTGTCCTTTGGATTTCTTTCTGATAAAGAGGAAATGGAAAGGAAGTAAGAAATGTTATGGAAGAGAAATAATGAGTTCCCCAGTGTTGAACTGGGGGAAAAGTGGTTCTCACTGAGGTCTAGTATGAAGTTTCAGAGTTGAAAAGTATTTACAGAATTGCTAGGGACCTTAAGAAGCAATAAGGATAACTCAAAGAGAGGAAGGGAGGGGTGACTTTTATACATACATCAGAGTGCTATATTTATAGACATTATTTATTCTCATACTTGTATTTTTTCTTACAGCATTGGAAGGCAAAAAAACAATTATATGTATTGGAAATTATATGACTTTTGGAAGATAATTTTCTTGTTAGAAATGTTATTAAATGATTCATCTGTAATTAATGTCCACATTTTATCTGTATAATCACAATTACAGATTTTATTGTTAAATTAATCTTTGTTCCTTCTTGCTTTCCTGCTTACTTGATGGGTTTTGTGTTTTATCATAAAAAAAAAATTAATCAATAATTCACTGTAATTGCTTTCCAGCTCAAACAAAAGGAAGGAAAAGAATGTGTACTACTAAGATAAAGACTTTTCATTCATTACAGCACAAAGACTTAAGGACAGAAGCAAAGTTTAATAGCAATTTTTAAAAAACAGTTATCAACTATAAAGTAATAATATTTTTTACTCATAAAGATAATATTGCAGTTTTTGAATTAGCTCAGAATGTATTAACTTCTCCTACTGAACAGTAATAATTGATTTATTTTGCCTCTTTCCTCTAAAGGTCGTTGAGTTTTGCGTATCATATCGCATTGTGGTCCTCCAGCACCCTCTAGTTGTAAAGTTCTGTCTGCTGACTTATTTCCAGAAAGAGGTGCAAGTATAAGACTGTATAGAAAGTATGGAATATTACTTGACACTATGAAAAAAAAAGCTAATTATTTTTAAATGGTTGGACACAAAATCAGTGGACAGCTATGGAAACCTGCCATGCGGTATGGTTTAAAAATGCAGGAAATAAGACATTTGATTAGTAGTAGAGGTTATAAGAAGCTTATAAAGAGCACGTTGGTAGTAGAGGTGAAGCTTATAAAGAGCACGTTGGTAACTGGATGATGTGGTCATGACGTGTGAACAAACTGCACGATTCAAAAATCTGTTTCTAATGGAGAGACCATCTGTGTTTCAGCTGGCATTTGCTTTACGGTCTCCTCTTGGCTATTAGGAGAGTTACAAATCTCTGTTCTACCCTTAGCATAAACCTCAGTATCTTTTGGTAATAAAGCATCAGGGGGGTAGCACCCTTTCCTTCAAAGCTTTGGAAGCATCTTTATAGGTCAGACTTAGAACTCTTTAGCAGGAAGTGCTACTTTAGATATGGATTAATCCATTACTTAACTTCATCCAGAAACTGAAGCTACACAATAAGTAAGGATGTGACCTGAGCAGGTTATCAGCTACTGTGCATTGATACTCTACCAGGATGTGTGGGGTGGACTGTGGTGAAGTAATTTACTTGGCTCTCCAAGTGTGGAAATCCATACTTTATTCTGTGGTGCTGGTTAGATTTGTACTTGATGCCCAGTTGTAAGAACAGCTCTGCCAGTGATTTTGGTCACTTCCTTTTTTTTCAGTCTTCTGTTAATTCTGTCTGAGATAGTATACGTGAGCAGTGTATCTTTGGAGTGAAGAAATGATTTTCTGTGAGTGCAACTTACCGACCGCTTAGAAACATTGCCAAACAGGTTTCATTCTCCTAAGTCTTTGGATCAGTTTGGTCTTGTGTATGGGAACTGCTGAATCACAGCCTGAACCTCTGATTGACCACCTGAGGTGAGCAATGGGTCAGCCCTGGGAGCACAGGTGAAGGCAATTCTCCTGTGCTATGGGAAGGAGTGGAGCCTGGCTGCACCTCTCCTAGACCCCATTTAAGAGCTGACTGCCAGCAGGGAAGGGTTTCTTGTGGAGATTGGTCTTCTTGAAGTCTTTTCAGTGAGCCCAGGACAAGGGTAAGCTTTCTAACCATTCTTCTTCGGGATGATAACTTGTTTAGCCCAACTTTCCTGTGTGTTTCTTAATTATAACATCTTTATTTTCATTGATTATACATCGTGGAAACGGAAGACTTTGACTAAAAAGAAAACTGATTTAACACTCTATTATTCATTGAAGAGAATGTAACGTTGCCTTTTGGGGCAGTTCAGTAGTCATGACCTACAAAGATTGATATGCTTGTATTAGTGTTTTGAAGGAAATACTGATAGCACATACCCTAATTTACTTTAAAGTATTTCACCCTGGAGTGAGAAGATAATTCACTTAAGAAATCTGCCATAAATATTTCGGTAATTTATGCAGAGACTTCATAATACAGATGAGACCATTGGTCTCTTCTTCAGTTCAAGCAGCTTACCATGGCAGTTATTGAATAACTTGTGCTGAGGATATTTGTAGAATAGATAACAATAAATTATTTATTTCCAGAGAGTGCAGCCTGAGTGTACGCAATGTCAAGTGATTTGTCAGGCTATAGAGATAACTGAGTGCTGAAATGAGTACAAATGTGGTGTATAGGGCAGATAAGGGAATGTTAGAACACCATTACTTCATGCTTTGGTGTGCTAATTCTGGGATTAAAGATAGAGTTGAAGGAAAAAAAAGCCAACACTGAAATTCAGGTACAGAGAGATTAAAAAGTACTTTTATTTGTGTCTACAATTTAATTTTTCTGGATGTATTAATAATATGGTATAGTGGTTGCCTTCTTTTTATAAAAATACAAAGAATTGCTTAAAAGAAAAAAAAAAAATCATCTGTGGTGCCAGAAAGATACAAAACCTAGTTCTTTCCATAGGAGGGACCACGCTGGAATAAAGGAGAAATAAACTCCAGTCTTAAATACATAAATTCTCATTGTTATAGTTGTGTCTCTAGCGTTGTAGAATGTAGCTGAGCTGCTTGCAGCATGCCCTTGCATTTTGGCTTGGAAACTTGCATGCCTGTCCACCTCTTGTAAGCTGTCCTCACTCCTTCAGTGGCAGTGGTAGACATCAGAAGAAAGACACGTGACTCTTGTGAAACGTTGCTGAAAAACCTTCATTGCTATGAATGCATCTACTCTGCAGTCCCTGGAACATCTGCAGCTAATGCAGGCTTACCCAAATTAACTTCAAACTTGCTGCCTGGGGACTGCTAGCAAAGCAGCCATGGCAACACAAGTGGAGGTGGGGAAAGCCTACCTGCTGGTGTGGGAAAACAATCAGAATTGGTGTTAACCCCCACACAGATTGCTGCTGCCCTGGCTGCCCTGCTCAGGTTTAAAGTCAGCTGATGGGGGTGTTCACCAATTCGTGTCTGCGTAGGATAGATGAGCTCCATGTGACGCACGGTCGGGTGGAGCTGGATTGTTTTCTTTTGCTGGTGATGTGGGAGATGCTGCTGTAAAATGTGCGTCTTGATGTCACGGAGCTCTTCTGTCATATTTAGCTTCATGTTCTGACAACGGTGTTCACTGGTAGTGCCAAAAATGAAACTCTTCGTGCTGAACCAACGCAAGTGTAAACGAGTGAGTGGGATTTGGCCATCTGAGCATGAAGGAGGTTGCCTGCTGCATCTTAGTCATACAGACTATCCTTTAAAAGTGCCATTCTATTTAAAGCACTAATGCTGGTAATGATGATTGGATCATCATCTTAAAATCACAGTATCCCTAAACATCCCAAGATGGATGGACCCTCAAGGGTCATCGAGTCCAACCCCCAGCTCCACACTGACCACCCAAAATCCAGACCTTATGTCTGGAAGTGGTATTCTAATGCTCCTTGAACTCCAGCAGCTTGGATCTGTTCTCACTGCCCTGGGCAGCCTGTTCCATGCCTGTCTGCTTCCTTTGAGCAGCTGTAGCTGCCATTGGGCCTCCCCTTGGCCTCCTCTGCCCTGGGCTGTACCTCAGTGGAGCCTCAGCTGCTCCTTGTATGTCTTGCCCTCTGCATCTTTCTCCATCTTCTTAGTCCCCATCTTCTTTGAATACTTCGTAATATATTTTTGTCTTTCTTTTTTGGGGGCTCCCAGACCTGCATGCAATGCTCAAGGTGAGGTAGCACAGCACTGAGCAGAGGGGAAAATCTCTTCCCTTACCTGGAGGCAGTGCTGAGCCTGATGCACCCAAGCTGGCAATAAGCCACAAAACGTGCTTTGAAAGAAGGAGCATGAAGGCTGTGGAGTAGAAAGGACAGGGTTATGAATAACTGTTTTCCAGGCTGTGGGAGTAGATCAGTTATTTTTTCATATGCATCTGTGCATGCCTGTTTCTTTCCATGAGCATCACAGGAGGAATCATTTTTCACTTAGGAAAGCAAAGTCAAGAGGTTCTAGGGCCCTAGAAACCTTCCTGAGTATAGTAGATCAAGCTGCTGTACAGCTGCCCTCCACCAAGACCCTCCAGCTGCAAGAGACCCTCCTCTAATGGTACAAATTGCAAGAAAAATCCCTGAAGCTGCTGATGCTGAGAGGAAAAGCTTTGC